GTCTAATTTCAAATACTTCTAAAAGAATAATTATCTAATCCTTAAATAAGCCAATTAAAAAATAAAGGGATAGAAATGGAGCATGCAAACAGAAATCAAAAGAAACAGAAGTATCTAAACTCGTATCAGATGAGTGGATTATACAGCAAAGAAATCAGCAGGACAAGGAAGAACATTAATGATAACAGGGTCAAAGCGTCAATTCACCAAGAACACAGCAATTCTACAAGTGTGTGCAGAACTCAGAGCTTCAAAATACATGCTATCAGACAGAAAGGAGAGTTGATTTTGGAGCCTACGTTCCGTGGCCCCTCGGCTGGCTTGTCCCCGTCCCTGGTCCCACTCAGAGCTCTGTCTCCTCTCTTGGGGAAGCCATGCCCAGTGAAGCCCAATCTCCCACTGCTCCGGGCCGGCACCTGCTGCTGCATCTAGGGACAAGGACGGCCAGGCTGCTCAGGCTCACCTGAAACTCATGACATCCCAGTGCGCCCTTCCTGCTGCCAGGACCCTGCTCCGCGTTCCCGGGGCCACCTCCCACTCTCAGCCTCCGCCTCATGCTCATTTTGGCTCTTCTTCTTCCTCTCTGATGGCTCAGCCTTCGTTGTTCTGACCTCCCAAGCCTCAGGCTTGTAACCAGTCCTCTGTCCAGCACGGCCTGACTCACTGCTTTGGACACTGCATCCAATCTCACTGTTCCAAGTTCAAAAATCTATTTGTCTCTTAAGGCCCCCCAACCAATTACCACAAACCAGGTGACTTAAAATGACAGAAATTGACTACCTCCGGGTTCTGGAGCCGGAGGCTGAAAGGAAGGTGTCGGCAGGTTCGCTCCTGCTGAGACTCTGTGCGGGGTCATCCTGCCTCCCCGGCTTCAGGTGGGGTCGGCCCCCCAACATCTGTGGCGGCCTGTGTTGCGTCATGCCATCTGTGTCCCTCTCTTCACCGGCCCTTCCTATCCTCCGTATACCTCCGTGCCCCTTGGCTTACATGGGCACCAGTCAGTAGATTTAGGACCTACTCTAATCCTGCACGACCTCCTCTGAACTGATTACATCCTCGAAGGCCTATTTAAAAACATGGTCACATCCCGAGATTCTATGCACCTCAGTTTCGGCTAACACTATTTGACCCCATACAGTTCACCCTCTGCCTCCAAAAATCCTCATCCGTCCCACATGCAGAACCCATTCGGCTCACCTCATTACCCTCCACTCCAGAATTAACTCTAAATCCCAAATCTCATCTAAATACCAACAACTCAAAAAGCTTGAAGTCTCATCACCTACTTGTCCAAATGGCGTGGATGGGTGACACTGGGTACGATTCATCCTGACCCAAATTCCTCGTCACATGTGGATCTTTTAAACTAGAAAACATGAGATCTGCTCCCAAAAGACACAGTGGGAGAAGTCGGGCCTTCCCATTCCAAGAGGGAGAGGCTGGAAGGAATAAAAGTATCATGGGTCCTGGGTGAGTCCCACACCGAGCAGGTGGGGTCCCAGGAAGACTTGTCTTCTGTCTTTCTCTGGGGGTCCTTCATCCATCTCCAAATTGTCGGACCAACCAGGGCACAATGAGCCTGAGGTCCCCGGGCCCAGACTGCGGATTTCCAATGCCACCAGCACCCCCTTCCCAGTGCACCTCAGAATTCCATCTCTCTCAAGAGACACCATCCCTCCCGAGCCCCCCAACCCCTCCAGGCACACAAAGCGATGGTCCTTGCGTACACACACCCTTCCTCCCGGCTTTTCCCTTCAGCCAGGCTCTTCCACATCTGGTAAGACTCCACTGGAATGCCACCATCCCTCTGAAGCTACTTCTGACCACATAGGCAAGCCCCTCCCAGGACAAACACGCACTGCCCCCCACAGTCTGGCCTGGCCAGCCTGTGAGACCCCACAGCCAGTGTGAGGAGGTGCTCGGTAACTGTGAACTAAATGGACAGCTGGACCCTTGCTGCCTTATCTGTAGGTTATGGCCATTTCTAGCGTCCTTATCAGCAGTAGCACCCTAATGCAACCCCAAAGCCTGAACACAGACCTGGGGGGCTCACCCAGCAGGAGATCTGACGGAGGGACAATTAGGCTCCCTGTCCCCACCCGTACCTCCCCTAGCAGGAAACACTGAAGCTTCAGACAGCGTGCTACTGAGTTCTGAAATGAGATCCCCCACATTCCTTGCCTCTGGGAGTTAGGACCTTCCTGCTCAGAGTCCCCTGTGGCAAGTGAGCCTGCCAGCCACAGCTCTGGGACATAGGGAGGACTCAGTGCTCCCGATGTCCGTCCACACTGCGTGGGGAGAGAGACCCTGGAGGGGGGGTGGCGGGTCAGCCAGGGCCTGGGCAGAAGGGAGACCAGGAGGCTGATGTCATAACGGGTGCAGGTGCCTGTGATCAGCAGCAGTGGGCTCAAAAAAATGAGAGCCTCACGTCATGTGCTTACGATGACAGGCTGACCCCAGTGGTCACTAACCATAATCAGGCCAACTGAATTTTATTAGGGAAAAGGATCTATTCTGCTTCTGTCCATTTTCCCACGGCTGTACATGACGCTACAATCATTAAGCAACTGTATGCCGGGTAACTTCGAAGGGGTGGCGGGGACCATCTTTCCACTGACTGCCCTAGTTTATACTAATTAACCACCACCGCCAGATGAATCAAAGTCGGACAAAATCAACTAGCGTGATGCAAAATTTAGTTTTCCGCCCATCCAAGTCCCCCCCCTCAACAATTACAATCTGGGGGGAAGGGGGATCCCCGCAGTTTTGTGACATAAAAATGAGTGCATATTGAAACATAATTCTCAGGGCTCTGGAGTGGCTCTCATAATCTCATAATCTCTCAGTGGCTGCCCACTGCCGCGGACCCACGTGGCTGTTGCAGGACTTCACAGAGAAGGGATGACAGTCCCACCACCACCCGTGGTCGTGACTATTCCTGAAACTTACGGTGGAGGCTGGGGTTGCCCGCGGGCGCGGCGCCCGGCTCTCCGGCGCCCCCTAGGGCCTCCGCGCGACACCGGCACCTGCTCTCCCGCCGCGGCCCGGCGGCGGCTGGGAAGCCCAGGGCCGGGGAAGGACCCAGGTGTTCTCCTGGAGCTTCCCAGCCGCCACTCGGGATGACAACGCTGCAAACGTGCCACGCTGCCAGGTGGCCGGCGCGGCTCCCGTATGACACTGTCCTAAACTCAAAGGCCGACCTCAGGGATTTTCGGCTGCACAACCGGCTCTAGTTTCAGAATCGAGGTCTCCGTGGATGCAGCAACCCTCAGGGAACCACACGCAACCCTCAGGGAATTTTCTGCTTCCCCTAATTTCCCAGTGCAATCGGAGACCCTGTTCTCGGGGGTCAAAGCAGCTGACATACAGCTCCAAGCAGGGCTGCATGGGAGTGGGGCAGCAGGGAGGTCGCTCACAGTGTACGGTGAACAGGGCGGGTCTCCAGAGCCCGGGCGCCGGACCGAGGGGACAGGAATGCGCGCCTCTGCGGAGCTGGGGACGCAGGCCCCTGTGTGTCTCTGACCTCTCCTTGGAGGGCCTCAAGTATGACTTCTGTTTTATCGGTTGTCTGTGTATTTGCTGTGAGCAAACTGGTCTTCCCATTCTAAAGAAGGACACGCGCGCACACACCTACCTCTGCACACACCTACACACAGCGAGGGCAGACAGACCGGGGGTGCATGCTAGCTTCACCCACAGCTGCGCAGGGGGCTGGCCCGGGGGCAAGGGGGAACGCAAGGGGGTCCTGAGGTGCGGTTTCTACTGTAAACTGCACAACGCTCCCCCAAGACACCTGTCCACCTCCTAGGGCAAGACTCCATTTCCAACACTGTCCAGGAAAGTCCCCTCCCGCGGGGGTCTCTCCGGTTAGCAAGGCTGACCCACGTGCTCTCGGCAAAAGAGCCTTGCAAAGGGCAGTTCCAGATTCAATCCTGGACCACCGGCGCCCTCTGTTGGTCACCTCGGGAAGAGGCGCGCAGACACCTTTGCGAACACCGGTCAGGACTTCACCGTGGCGCACAGACAAGGGAGAATCCCAAACAATCCCCACTGCGACGCCCCGGAGAGAACTCAGTACAGGGATACAAGGTGGCCTGGGAAAATGATAGTAAAAATAAGCAGTTGCGAGGACTATTCTGTTATTAACGACACCTCGGCAGTGCTCGCTTTACTGCTTTTACCATTGTTTTGTTTGGGCCGTAAACTCTACTTGAAAACATAATCAGGGAGAATACCTATGACCACAACAGTGGTGATGTCCAGGCTCCGACAAGCCCTGCTAAGGACCCATCGCCAGCTGGGGGCTTCTCGTAAAACACCCAGGGAGGCTTCACGGCTGCCTTGGAACGCGTGAAGACCACGTGCGCACCTGCAGATGCGCATTTGTATGTCCCAGGAGGCAGGGAGGCAGAGGGAGCGAACGGCCCCGCGGGTGCAGAGAAAACCAGAGACCTCGACGTGAATCAGGTAGTCCCACTCAGAAATGTCCCACGACCTTCCCGACCCGAGGACTCAAATTTTGCGAAGCTCCGCAAAGTACACTCGGTGAGGTGCGGAGCACGCCAGTCTCCCGGACACCAGTTCTCCACGGGGGCGACCTCACCCAGGCCCGCAGGGAGAAAGGCGGCGGCGTCGGACTGGCCAGGGGCGCCAAGGACGCCGGCGTGGCCGAGGGGCCCGGGTGGCCAGAGGCGCCGGGGACGGCGGGGTGGCGGGGCTGCCGAGTTCCCCGGGACGGCGGGGTGGCGAAGGGACCGGAGTGCGCGCGTAGAGCAGGTGCCTGGGCGCCCGTGCGCTGCGCGCCCCCGCCCCCATCCCGGCGGCCCCGGGTGCGGCGGGAGCCCCGAGCCTCGTGTGCGCCGGCCCGCCCCCTCCCCCCCCATCCCGCGCGCCGTTCCGGGGCGTGTCCTCGGCCACCCGGCTTCTATATAGCGGCCAGCGCGCTCGGGCCGCCCAGATGCGAAAACGGCGGCGCCGCGCTCAGCACTGGTAGCTGCCTACCCCACTCCCGCAGCCTCGCGCCGCGCGCTTTCGCCCGATTCCTGCGCGCCCCGGCTGACCGAGCAGCGGGCCCCCGCGGTGGGCGCCATGCAGCGGGCGCGCCCCGCGCTCTGGGCCGCGGCGCTGACCGCGCTGGCGCTACTCCGCGGGCCGCCGGCCGCACGGGCCGGCGCGGGCTCGGCGGGCGCGGGCCCCGTGGTGCGTTGCGAGCCGTGCGACGCGCGCGCTCTGGCGCAGTGCGCGCCGCCGCCCGCCGCGTCCGCGTGCTCCGAGCTGGTGAGAGAGCCGGGCTGCGGCTGCTGCCTGACGTGCGCGCTGCGCGAGGGCCAGCCGTGCGGTGTCTACACCGAGCGCTGCGGCGCCGGCCTCCGCTGCCAGCCGCCGCCCGGCGAGCCGCGCCCGCTGCAGGCGCTGCTGGACGGCCGCGGGCTCTGCGCCAACGCCAGCGCCGCCGGCCGCCTGCGCGCCTACCTGCTGCCAGCGTCGTCCACGCCAGGTGAGCCGCCGGCGCCGGTCGGCCCCGGGCGGGGGCCGGGGCGGCGCCGCTGCGGGGACCCCCTGCCCTCCCCGCCCTCCCCGCCCCCGGTGCTGTAGGCGCGGAAACCAAGGTCCCGCGAGCGAGTGCGCTCGCCCGCGGCACGGTCTGCAGCCGGCCGTCCACGCGCTGCGTTCACCGAGTGCGGAGTGCTTGCACATTACTAAGCGCTTTCGGCAAAACTGGGTCAGAGGTTTCCCGGGCAGGGAGGGGGAGGATACGAGGTTGTCATGACCGATCCCATACCGACGAGCGTCTCCCCGCCCTTGGTGCGGGCGCAGCGCGGCAACGTGAGCCTGGACCGTGCGGCCCACCTCGGGAACGCGGCTTTCGTGTCCCACAAACTGGGAGCGAGCGTGTTTATTCCAAGCGGAGGGAGCTGGAGGACCAGGGAGGCGGTCGGGGCGAATTTGGACTGGAGAAGGTGGGCGGACACCTTTGTAGGAGATGGTGCTTGTCTTTAAAAATTCGAACATTTGCACAGACGTACGGTGTGCGAAGCAACGGCACGTCTCGGCGTGCGACAGAAGCAGTAAGGTGGGAACCGGGTATTGGCATCTTTTGCCTTTGGGCAACCTGACGTCCAGAAGGTAGTGCCTCCCCAAAGTCCCCCAGAGGCAGAGAGGAACGTGGGGGCTGAACCCGGTTTGCCACGTCCTGCCTCGTCCCCCTGGTGCGCCCCATCCGCCCCGGTGCCTGGATGGCCCCAGACCAACGCCAGGTGCGGGGCCTTCAGGGAGTGTGGACTCAAAAGATTTCAGTGATGGTGCGGGGGAGTGGAATAAGCCTCAGGACTGTATGGCCCTTAATCCGAAGTGGAAGGGATAGGGTCCGGTTCCTGGGAGCCCCGAAAAGACAGAGACTCGGCCACTGCCCCTCGCGAGGCTCTGAAGGACATCACGCTGTTCCGAGAAAGCAGCGTAAATGGAGTCTGCAGTTGTTGCTCTAAATTCTCCAGCAGGCTCAGCCAGCCTCCCTGGGTTCTGTGAGTGGAGCTCCTGCAGAGCTGGAGGCCGGGAGAATTCTGCCCTGGCCTCCAAGGCACCAGGCTGGACAGAGCTAGTGGGCAGGCTCCCACCCTGGACTGACAGGAGGGCAGTCCCCTTGTAATTTCAGGTTGTGCACATTGCCACGCCCGGGTGAGGCTCTGTCTTTGCTAGGCAGGGCTGGCTCTGTGGATCCCAGAGAAACACCATTCCAGGATTGGTGAGAAGGCAAAATTCCAGTTGCCTAAAACGTGCGCCGCTGTATCGTGGTGGATTTAAAATCGCCAGGTGCATTTGTCTCTCAGGGCAACCGCAGCGTTTGCTGTGTGCACTTTATTCTTCTAGCGTGTTTTCTGGGTATTCGAAAAGCGATCTGAGAAGCTCTTGTAGACGCTGCCGATTTCAGTGACCCGGGAATGGGTATATTATGATTACTATTGTAGTAGCTCCGCAGTATGGGTTGATGTCTTTAACTAAAACGTGGTTAACAAGCCTAAGATTTTATGAGACTTATAAAACCCGTGGGGGTGGGGAGGTACATTTAAATGGCAGTCAAAAGTTAAGATTATCTGTTACTTAAATGCAGAGGTTTTGTGTTCCTGCTGAAGTCAGCAGGCATTAGAAAGATAACCTGGGAGGTTTAAGAAATTACTCAGTTCTTGGAAAAGAAATGCAAATATGTTTATTTACATACCCTTAGCATCTCCTTTGTCCCCAACACTTCCCTGAAAAGGAAGGAAAAAACCCTAAGGTTAAAAGGACATTGAAACCAAATTCTGCCAATTAAGAACCGACTGTATCCGGCGCTGGGCTAATCGGTGCTTCCCCAGACGCCAAACTCCTTGGGAGCTCAGCCACCCCTCCACCTCCAGGGACTCTCCTTCCCAGGGGGGGAGGTGGAGTCCCCAGGGAGGAGAGGGTGTCCCCCAGCCCCTGGTGAGTGCACCTGCCCTGGGCGCGTCCTGCAGAGATTCTTGTCCTTCAGCCAGCCTGGGGAGCGTCCTCCACAAGACATTTGCCCCTATCCCCTAGAGCCTGAGATCTGAGCCAGCTTCCCTGTGGGCTGCCACCGTGCATGAGGGGCAGGGCCCCTGGAGGGCGCTCGGCACCCCCAGGCATCGTAGATTCAGGACCAGATGGTGAGCCAAGCCCCTTCCAGGACGGAGGCAGGCTGCTCGTTGAATGGAGCGATCGTGTGACCCACAGGGGATCCTCAGCAGCTCTTCCCCCGTAGCCACCTCCACTGTTCATCCTGGAAAAGGAACCTCGAGAGCGTGCTGGCCCCATATCAGCCCTGCATGTAGTCCGTGCACATGAAACCCCAGTGACAGCTGCGGACATCCAACACCAGTGTCAGGGCCTCAGTTCTCTTTATTTTACTGTGTGGGTCACAGAACAGTGGCGGGGGTGGCGGGGGGTCCCTCAGGGAGTGAGTGCTCCAGCACGCACAGGGTCTGTGCACCTCCTCAGGACGTTCCAGCCCACGTGTGGACAGTGAGTTAGAGATGTGACAGTGGGACCCGTCACACAGCGCCCAGAGCCAGGGGACCTGCAGCCAGGCTCAAAGGGGAGTGAGCTTTCCCCTGGGCCAGTCTGCCTGGTGGAACACGACAGTGGGGGAATCAGAGCCCCTGCGGGACTTGTGGACCCCCACCCAGGTGGCTGTCCCCACCTGGCGCCTCTGACTCAGCAGGGCTGACGGGTGGGGCAGAGAGTGTACTGGTCCCCCAGTCCTGGGAGGCTGCACTTGGGGTGGCCTTTGGGGTCTGAATCCTGGGCACCGTCCCTGCTCGGGCATGCCCCCTGCTGGCGGAGGGTGACAGATGCTGCCGGCTCCGCGATGAGAACCCTTCCCTGCCCCCCGCCACCACCACCACCACTGCTCAGAAAGCACACATCAGATTCCTTTCTAGAAAGCGGGCTTCCGGTAGAGTGACAGCCGTCCACTGCTAGTACCATGGAACAGTACTTTATCCAGGTGTTTTGGAGTTGCTGGGTGACATTTCGGCCTAGCTGGGACTTGGTCGCTGTGGTAATATTTTGCAAAGACTATTGCTAACTGCGGATGGCCGTCACACCCGTGTGCCCCTTGCACTTTTCAAGGAAACAGCAGCGAGTCGGAGGAAGACCACAGTGCGGGGAGCATGCAGGGCCAGGCCCTCCCCAGCACACACCGGGTGCCCGATGCCAAGCTCCAGCCCCTGCACACCAAGATGGACGTCATCAAGAAAGGGCACGCCAAGGACAGCCAGCGTTACAAGGTGGACTACGAGTCCCAGAGCACGGACACCCAGAACTTCTCCTCCGAGTCCAAGCGGGAGACGGAATACGTGAGCCTTCTCCTCCTGGTGGGCGGTGGGCTGAGTGTGGAGGGACCCTTCCCGCTGCGGGATCCCGCGAGGATCCAGGTGGAATGACGTGGGTAGGAGCGCCTCGAGGCTGGCGGTGTTCTGTTCACCTGCTCTCCCAGTCCCCTGGCCTGTGGCCACTCTCTGCCCCCCGGTCCCGGGCCTCGCTCTGGGGACCTCATGGGAGACGGGAGCCATGGTTGGGGGGTCGTGGGGTTGGCGTGGCAGGTCCCTCCTCGGGTGCATGGGATTCTCTGAGGCCGCGCGCGCTCCCAAGTAACCCGTGGCTCTCCCCACAGGGGCCCTGCCGCCGGGAGGTAGAGGACACGCTGAACCGACTCAAGTTCTTGGACATGCTTAGCCCCAGGGGCATCCACATCCCCAACTGTGACAGGAAGGGCTTCTACAAGAAGAAGCAGGTGAGTGGCGTCCTCACCAGCTTCCCTCCCCCCTGACCCGCAGAGCCGTGCGCCGCCGCCCCGGGGCCCTGGGTTAACTGAAGGGACATGGGGTGACGTCGTGAATAACCGTCGCAGGGACATGAGGTCGTGGGCCAGAAAGCCTCCCTGAGATCCCCCGTTGGCCCCCCTCCGGCCCATCCTTGCCGGGAGTCCTGGCACGATGGGGGGCCGTTAATTCAGGCCAGGCTAAGTGCATCTCCGGAGATGAACTGTTCCGAGACGACAGCATCCCAGGTGGCTCAGCACTGGGACAGTTCCCGCCACGGTGGCTGCCGAATGATCGAGGCCATGGGCCTCCTGGTCTCTGTCGCACCTGTTTGCCACCAGCCGTTAGGCAGCAGCTTACCTGCCGCCTGCGTATTCCCATCAGTCTCTTGCTCAGCAGAGCCGCGCTGAGAGCCCATCTGTGCACCTTGGCGAGCGCTCTCAGGTGCCCCGGGCAGGTGGGACGTTCTTATCCCCAAGGGGCGCGCAGCGGCGCAGAACTGCCCCAGCCTGCTTCTCCGGAGAGCCCCCTCCCCCTCCACGGGAGCCTCCCCCCCCAGGCATAAGAGCCTGCCTCACCGTTGGCCCTGGGCGCCTGGCCCGCCATCAGGGTTCACCTGTGTCCTGTGTTCTCCGGCAGTGCCGCCCCTCCAAGGGCAGGAAGCGGGGCTTCTGCTGGTGCGTGGACAAGTACGGGCAGCCCCTTCCCGGCTTCGACGCCCGGGGGAAAGGCGACATTCACTGCTACAGCATGGACAGCAAGTAGACGCTGCTCACCACGTAAGCCGGGGGGGCCTGGGCTCGGGGGCTGTGGCGGCGTGTCTCGGGAAGCGGGGACAGACCCCGCAGGAGGGTGCAGGGCCCCCCCCCCGACCCACCTGCAGCAGCCCAGGGAAACAGGGCCTGTGGTCAGGTTGTCTCAGAGGTACTTGGAGACCCTTGGAAGATCTTGGACTTGGACCTGTGCACGTTCACACACACGCATACGGAGAAGTCCAATAACCAGCCTTCCCTGCACCACGGCTGGTGGCTTGTCTTCACAGGCAGACGGTTTTAACCCTCGAGGACTTGTGAAAGGAACATGCTTCTCACTCACAAGTGTGGCTGGTTTTTCTCTGTAAAATGTTCCGGATATTTTGATAGTCTGTGATTGATACCATTGTAATAAAGTTTATTTTCACCTAACACAAATATGAGATTTTAAATGAGATTTATGACTTCGAAGAATGCGGTCGTGTTTGACACTCCTTTGTCTTTTAATAAACGGGAGAGCCATTGGAGAAAACAGAATAAATGTGTTTTGTCTCCTCAAGACAAATTTAAGTAAACAGAAGAAATTTTCATTTTTTTTAAAGATTTTATCTATGTATTTGACAGAGAGAGAGCACAAGTGGGGGTGGGGGCAGAGGGAGAAGCAGACTCCCCGCCAAGCAGGGAGCCCGATGCAGGGCTCAACCCCAGGACCCCGGGATCATGACCTGAGCCGAAGGCAGACGCTTCACTGACGGAGCCACCCAGGCACCCCAAATTTTTCATTTTTAGTTATAAGTTTTGTTTCCCCACAAATTGGAAGGAAATTCAAGGTTCTGGGTGAGACTCGGGGTCGGTGGCCTCTGCCTGAGTCTCCCCTCTGTCAGGTGCTCCTTGGCGACAGTGTAGGGCGAGACCCCCACCTGCCTGCAGTCGGGGGTCTCGCCCCCAGTGTCTCCCCACGGGAATTGAGCCTTTCGAGGTGGGGGAGTTATTTCAATACATTTCTTTTTCTGTTTGTTTTAGTTAATGTGGAGCTCAGAAACGCCTAATTTTGCACAAAAGACTGCCAAGGACACGATCAGCATCTGGCTACAGCCTCAGTTTATCTTTCTTTTTGTGGTGAATTGATTTTTCTTTTAGCCAAAGTTTAGAAGATGTTCGCAGCGCCTAGGGTTCTTGTAGATGGTGAACCGGAGCGTCTTCCACTTCGCAGGAGTCGATGAGACGCGGCCGGGTTTTTCTTCTTGCTTCCTCCAAACATACACTTACCCTGCAGCACCGCGCGGCCAGCCCTCCCACGTCCTGGAGCGCGCCCGCGTGTGCGCCCACGCAGCCCACCCTCCACGTCCAGATCCAGCGAGTGTCGCTTCTGTAGAGTGCACGCCTCATCCCCACTCGGTAAATGAGCACAGGCCTCGGCGAGGACAGGGAGCCCCGCAGCCTGGTGTCTGGACGTCCCGGTGCACCTGCCGGGGGCGGGGCTTATATCCAGGAGGCCCGGCCCCGCTGATCGTGCGGATCTTCAAGGCGCCCTGGGGAATAGCAGAGAGAATAAGTGGAGTTTTACATGTAAAAAATAAAAAAAGACCAAGGATGTTCCCCGGAAGTCTGGGAACCTGTGAAGACAGGTGTTTCTGACCTGCCCCCACCCCCCTGGGCCTGGCCTCTGCCATTGACTCCGCCCTTTTCAGAGGCCACGAAATTAGAGTAGGGTTTTTCAATGACTGCAGACAATAGCATTTTTGCATTTAGCAATTCAAGAACTTTAGTTTGGAAGATAAACTCCTTAAAAGCAAAAATGTTTATTTTTCTGTCTCTCCCTTGTCCTCCTCGGCACGAGATAAAAAGAGTAAAAATAGTTGTTATCACCCAGCAAAGAGGGATGGCTTGTCGGGGACACTGGGACCATCCAGAGAATCCCGTGCCCACTGCACTTGGACCCCCACCCCCACTTCTCTTTCTAAGTCACATATATATGCAGAGAAAGTATGTTCTTCATGAGGTGTTACCCTCGTATACCCCAGATACGCCAGGACCTGTGCTAGATAATCGTAGACAAGATGTTAGCCCCGCTAGAGAAGAGAAACATGGCCTCCACCGAGGCAGGGCGCTGGGGCTGGGCCCGGCTGCTTTCCCGGAGGCCCGGCCTCGGGCAGGTGAGCAGGAACACCCCAGGGTGGAGGCGCACAGCACACAGCTCTCCCTGAGAACACGAAGGGGGTCTCAAGACATTCTGCCTACCTGTGAGCTTTCCTTTATTTTTTTTAATTAAGTTTTTTGGGGGAAAAAAGGTATTTTTGAAAAGTTTGTCTTGCAATGTATTTATAAATAGTAAATAAAGTTTTTACCATAAGGAAACCCCCGTCCCCGTGTTAGTGACTGGCTCCGGGTTTTGCGTCACTAGGGAAATCCAGGAGAGAGTAAGATGTTCTGACCACAGCTGAAGCCCCCCATAGACAAATGCCTTTGCCTGTCCCACCTCTGGGGATAGAACCCCAGCAGGACCCCTGGGAGGCCTCTGCTAGTGCCCACGGAGGCATTGGGCCACACCTGCTGGGGACCTCCAGTTCTAGGAGGTGGATGTGGGCTCATTCCCGCCGCAGGAGTGCGCAGCAGACGAGCAGCTAACCCTCCGTGGCTGTCCGGCCTTTACTGCATTTAGGGGGTGCCCCCCGGGGACCTATCTTGTCACCACTCTGCGTTCAGGGCCAATCAGGGCAGGCACGTAACACACACTGGACAGCCTCCCCTGTGGCCCTTTCTTTTCGCCCCTCTGCTTGGAGGGCAGTGGACAAGGCCGGAGGAGAGGGAGCCCCGGAGGATGGTGGGTGGGCTCCCGCCTTGGTGGCCCTGGCATAATTGTGCACGTGCCTTCAGGCACTGATGACGAACCTCCTGTCACAGAATGGCCTGTTCAGAGCCATAACTGACCCTTTAAAGAAGCACCTGAGATGGGTCCATCCTGCAGAGCTGTATCGAGCTCCATAGCTAGCGTCAAGCTCCATAGGTCTTCGTAGGACAAACGAGGAAGAGCATGGCACAGACGGTCCACCGTCGGTCCACCGTCAGGTGGGGGCTGTGCCCGCCAAGCTGACCCGGAGGAGGGAGGGAGCCCGGGAGCAGAGCAGGCCCATGGGGGCAGCAGGTGCCAGGGGGCCGTGGGGTGCTTGGGGTGCACGAGTCCGGCAGGTGTCTGGGCATCCAGGACTGGAGTGCCACAGGGCCTTTAAAGCCTCTGCAGGTGAGAGCCACGTGTGATGTCAACTCTCCAGGCCCCTGGGCCGGCCTTGCTGGGAGCGTGGCATCCTGTGCCCTCCTTAACCCCCACTCTACTTTGACCCCTTTCCTACTCCCTGCCCTCCTGTCATCTCTGATAAACACGTGAAGTTGCACACTTCTGCTCCCCTCCGCACCAGCCCCTGGGAGTCCCTCCACCCCCCACACCAAGTGTCCCCAGCCGCCATCCCCCAAACACACACACAGAAATGGGCATGCCAGGGCGTGTGTGTCACCGGGCCCGGGGGACACAGCTGCTCCGGCGGCTCTCCGGAGTCCCCCGGGGTCCGACCAGCCAGCCACACGCAAAAGTGTGACAGTCACCGGTGTTGAGGAGGGTGTCATGGAAGGGGCTTCTGCACCATGGCAAGCTATCCAGAGAGGCTCGCCTCATTCGGCTGGACTCCTGGGACCCAGCACTCTGGGACGTTTTCAACTGAAACACGTTCCTTGGAAAGGAGTGTGAGGTCGCCCACCGTGTTATTGCTGCCAGCGATACGGAAAAATGCTCAATGTGGGTGAACACGAGAGCAGATGCTGTCGTACTGTGTACACGCCCACGTGCCCTCACACGCACTCACACGCGGGTGCACATGCACACAGGCGTGCACACAACACGCATACATGTACACAGAACATGAACCCAACAAAAAGGACACACAGCACAGCGTCTGCCCTGGTTGTGCGAATGTAGACACGGTCTTTATTTTACTTCCACTTCATTACAGTGTCAACAATTTCTGTAGCGACGTGAATGTATTCCTTTTAATTTGGAAAAGGCGGCTGCTCATCTCGTCAGGGCCGCGGCCTGTCCCTGGGGAGCCTGGACAAGGAGACTGCGCTTCTGGGCTCCCCCCCCCAAGTCTAGCACTGTCCCCAACCTGGCAAGTGGCCTGGACACCCCTCCCGGCCTCCAGTTCAACCAGGATTGCCTTTCCACCCCATCTGTTCTGGGACAGCGCCCACAGGCAGTGCACACAACGTGCCGAACCACTGCTCCTGGGGAGGAAGGCAGCGACGAGCCTCGGGGGCACGCGCGGCTGGGAAGGAGCGAGTACCGCACACAAACAGCCACCCTTCCTCTCATCGCCTCTCCTTGTCCTCTTTTAATGTGGGAGCTGGTCAAGGAAGGCCTCGTGGGGGTAGCTTTCCAGGGGGACCCAAGGAGGCCAGGGAGCAGCCACCCGACGCCGGGCCGCGGTTAGCCAGATGCACCTGACACCTGACGTCTGCGGGTGGGGACCAGGTGGGGGACCCTGAGAGCCCTGGCATTGGCGCTGAGTGGAGGGGGAAGTGACTGGGCTGCTCCGGACCCCCGCTGCCCCCCGAGGCTCAGGTGGTGCACTCCGGGCATATTTTGAACACAGGGCCACATATTTGTGGATTGGATATGGGGGCTGAGGAAGACATAGAATGAGCGACCCAAGACGGCATTCCAGCTGAAGAAGCAAACGGGAGGAGGCAGTGCTGGGGGCGGACACCAGGATCTCCATGCGGTTAAGGTGGAGACACCTGCAGGCATGGCCCTCCAGGCAGCCATGGAGGGGTCCTAAGGAGAACGTCAAGGTCATTGGAAACAGTGAGGAGCCCCTGGGGAGCCAGAAGCCTGAGGCTATTTTAAGGGGGGTGCCCAAAGTCACCGTGTCGGGCAGGAGTCGGCCAGGCCAGTGATGCTGCAGCGTGCACCCCCAGGAAAGGGGTCGCTCTCCCTCTGCCCCCATCAGTGCCCCCCATGGCTCAGGAACTGTCAGCACCTGCCCCACCTGCTACAGGTGTCCTGAAGGAGTGAAGTCAAGGCAGGGCAGCGATGGGTAACAAGCACAGGGGGTCCCTTCCACGCGGGGAGGTGGCAACTCTCCTGAGCCAGGCAGGTGTGAGTGACCCACCACAGACTCCCCGTGCTGGACACTTTCCCTCAGCCCCATCCTCACTGCACCTGAGCCGCGAGCTTCGGGTGGGGACACAGACCCACACGGCAGGAGTCGCTAATGCCCTAGGCAACGAGGGTTCACAAGCTGCAAGACCTCTGAGCAGCACAATTGTATCAAAAGGTAAACAAAGAAGTAGATCATTTCCACTGGAAACAAAATCATAACTGTCCCTCCAGCACAGGTGTGAAGAGCAGAGGGAAGGTATCATATCACAGGTATCATATCACAACGTAAGAACAGAAACATAAAGAGGAACCAAATGGCAAAGGTGGCATGAAGTTTCTAATGGCTGAAACAAAGAACAAATAGGTGGGATAAAGAACAGAACGGGTAAAGCCAGAGGCTGACTTAGTGAAGATCAAGTTGACCACCTGTCCTACAAGGAAGCGGGAAACACAAACTGCAAAATAAACAGAACAATTGAGAGGAATGGAGGCTGGAAGCAGGGAGGTTGAGTCCAGACCACAGACGTCCTGGCGAATATTTAAATAAATAAGAGATACATTTCTCATTGTAAGAAAAAAAAAAAAGACTTGAGGTTGATGGGCTCCACTGAATGTACAAGGGGATACAGTTTAAAAACAGTGATGGGGGTGCCTGGGTGGCTCAGTCGGTTAAGCGCCCGGCTCTTGATTTCAGCTCAGGTCATGATCTCAGGGTCGTGGGATCGAGCCCAGCATTCGGCTGGCTCCACGCTCAGCAGGGAGTCTGCTTGAGATTCTCTCTCTGCCCCTTCCCCTGCTCTCTCTAAAATAAATAAATAAAATCTTTAAAAGGAAAAGAATATCCACTGATGGATACATTATGGTGAATTTGTAAAATACCAAAGCTTCGAGAGAGAAAAAGCTGGTCCCAGATACAGAAACAAGTGTGTGACCACAACTCTGGATGCAGGAAGGACAAAGGAATGACACGAGAAAT